CCCTCGGGCAGGAGGTGGCCTGGAGGTCTCCAGGAGTTTGGAGCCCTTCCCTTGGGGTTGAGGTTGGGTTGGATCACTGCCCTCGGGGCTGGAGATGGCCTGGAGGTCTCCAGGGGGTTTGGAGCCCTTCCCTTGGGGTTGAGGTTGGGTTTGGATCACTTCCCTCGGGCAGGAGGTGGCCTGGAGGTCTCCAGGGGGTTTGGAGCCCTTCCCTTGGGGTTGAGGTTGGGTTTGGATCACTTCCCTCGGGCAGGAGGTGGCCTGGAGGTCTCCAGGGGGTTTGGAGCCCTTCCCTTGGGGTTGAGGTTGGGTTTGGATCACTTCCCTCGGGCAGGAGGTGGCCTGGAGGTCTCCAGGGGGTTTGGAGCCCTTCCCTTGGGGTTGAGGTTGGGTTTGGATCACTTCCCTCGGGCAGGAGGTGGCCTGGAGGTCTCCAGGGGGTTTGGAGCCCTTCCCTTGGGGTTGAGGTTGGGTTTGGATCACTTCCCTCGGGCAGGAGGTGGCCTGGAGGTCTCCAGGGGGTTTGGAGCCCTTCCAGAGGGGTTGAGGTTGGGTTGGATCACTTCCCTCGGGACTGGAGGTGGCCTGGAGGTCTCCAGGGGGTTTGGAGCCCTTCCAGAGGGGTTGAGGTTGGGTTGGATCACTTCCCTCGGGACTGGAGGTGGCCTGGAGGTCTCCAGGGGGTTTGGAGCCCTTCCAGAGGGGTTGAGGTTGGGTTGGATCACTTCCCTCGGGACTGGAGGTGGCCTGGAGGTCTCCAGGGGGTTTGGAGCCCTCCCAGTGGGGTTGGAGGTGTCCTGGAGTGCCCGGTGGGTACCTGAAGGTGCCCCGCTCGACGTCCTGGCCGCTGAGGCGGATGTGGATGCCCTCCTTGAGCAGGGAGCCAAAGGCCATGTACTCTGCCAGGGCCCAATCCACCGTGCGGTTCTTCACCAGCTCCCCACGAGTCTTCAGGATGCGGCTCAGCCCTGAGGGGACAGGAATGGGGACAGGAACGGGGACAGGGAGGGAGGGGAGGGATGAGGAGGGACAGAGATCAGGGATGAGAAGGGATGAGGGATGGGGAAGGGATGAGGGATGAGAAGGAGTAAGAAGGGATAGAGATTAGGGATGAGGAAAGGATGAGATGAGGGATGAGAAGGGATAAGGGATGAGGAAGTGAAGAGGAATGAGAAAGGGATGAGGGATAAGAAGGGAGAGATCAGGGATGAGGAAGGGATGACAGATGAGAAGGGATAAGGGATGAGGGATGAGAGGTGAGAAGGAATGAGAAGGGATGTGGGAGGGGGAAGGGTTGAGGGATGGGGAAGGAGGTGGAAGGGATGAGGGAGGATGAGAAGGGATAGAGATCAGGGATGAGGGATGGGGAAGGGATGAGGGATGAGACGTGGGATGAGAAGAGTTAGAGATTAGGGATGAGGAAGGGATGAGAAGGGATGAGAGAAGGGATAAGAAGGGATAGAGATTAGGGATGAGGGATCAGAAGGGATGAGAAAGGATGAGCAATGAGGAAGAGATGATGGATGAGAAGGGATGAGGGATGGGGAAGGGATGAGGGATGGAGAAGGGATGAGGGATGGGAAGGGATGAGGGATGGAGAAGGGATGAGGGATGGGAAGGGATGAGGGATGGAGAAGGGATGAGGGATGGGAAGGGATGAGGGATGGAGAAGGGATGAGGGATGGGAAGGGATGAGGGATGGAGAAGGGATGAGGGATGGGAAGGGATGAGGGATGGAGAAGGGATGAGGGATGGGAAGGGATGAGGGATGGAGAAGGGATGAGGGATGGGAAGGGATGAGGGATGGAGAAGGGGAAGGGATAAGGGATGAAAAGGGATGAGGGATGGGAAGGGATGAGGGATGGGAAGGGATGAGGGATGGGAAGGGATGAGGGATGGGAAGGAATAGGGATGGCTGAGGGATGGGAAGGGATGGGAAGCACTGAGGTCTGCCTGGCACCTACCCCCATGGATGGTGAAGTCCTCCACGGGCACAGAACTGGCCACTTGGCCAATGTGAGTCAGGTCCTCCTCGTTGAGGCCAGTGGAAGGGCAGGTCATGCTCCTGGGCTGCCCGTCCAGGGTGAAGAAACCTGGGGAGGAGTCACCAGGCTGAGGTCAGGGACACCCTCAGGGCTGAGCAGAGACACCAGGAGCAGGGACAGCACCACCACAACCTTCTCCTCTGGCAGGAACCACTGCAGGGGCCACCTGGGACCTCCAGAACAGGCCAAGAGCTCCACCAAGGACCTCCAGAACACTCCCAGGGCCTTACCTGGCCAAGGTGAGTCCAACCAGTGCTTGATGTGCAAGATCTTCTCATCCTTGGACCTGGCATGAGCCTCCTCACAGATCTTGTCATACTTGGCAATCTCCTCCTGCAAGGCACAACCAGGAGGTGGGAGAACATCAGCAGGAGGTGGAAGGTGTTGGGGCTTGGTGGGAAGGTCCTGGAGGGACCCCAGGGACAAGACCATCCCACCTCTGGGTGACCACCA